GTATAAATAAGTATTTATATTTGTGTATAAGCGGCTTAGATTGTCAAAAAGCCTGTGTTTTTAGGGTTATTAACAAAGTTTGTGTACTCAGACCAGTAATATTTGGGGTCACAAGTTTTTGCCATGAATATTTTGTGGGTCAGCAGACAAAAAGTTTGGGAACCACTGCTCTAACAAATCACATGAGCTCCTGCATTATTGAATGAGGTTGCAAGTAATGCAATTTACAAGGCTCTATGTTTTAACTATAAAAGGATCTTAGTTAAAACCTCTGATGCATGTGCTGCTGTAGGGAATGCTCGGTGGTTATTTGCTGATGCATTACAAGATGATCTAAAAGTAGACAAACCGGCATCATGAACAAGTGSATCCTTGTGCGTGTGTGCTTGACTTAAACGCCGTGAAGGAGGAAATTACTGCAGTTAATTATCTGGGTTGGCAGTTGACTTGGGACAAAATTTGMMAACACAAATGAGTCCACTGATTGAAAAATCACAAGTGTCATGAGTTAAGTTAAGATCCATTACCATCCTTTAAGAAGAATTCTGGTCACATGTAAACGATCCGAACTGGATTAGATGTAGTAAAGTCAGCACCAGGCCTGTTTTATTCACATGGAAGTCTGAAGCCAATGCACAACTGAGATTTTTGTTCAAAATCAAAATAAAATTACATAAATTCACACGTGGACAAATGTGCTGCGTAATTTTAGGTTAGTGTTGCTGGATATCTGCCAAGGTGACTCAGGGGTGGGTGTGGTGGTCTTACCCACTTTGTGTCTGTGATGTCAAATGTGGGTCACCACATATATGGGTCAGTGATTCCTTTATGCACTGCGAGCACGCCATTCTGCCTTGTTTATCCTCCCCGCGCCGTGCACCACACCACGTGCACGGAGGGTTAAAAATAACACCTGCCAGCTAAAGACAGGATATTGTGCGGTGCAGTCTTTAAAATGCTACAACGTGGGGCGCAACAGACAAAGCAAAGGATATGCAAACTGATCCGGTGTGTGGCTGCCATGCAGTTATATAATATAGTGATATTTAACTCTATGATGGTTGCACATATATGAACTGATGAGACAATAAGGAGTTGCCTTGATGAAAGTCGATTCGGCATTTACTTGTTTTGCTAGCTTTTTATTTTTGTATGTTTGTTGTACTTCTTCATACTTCATGCTATTTTACCTGTTTATGCACCACATGWGCACATTTTTATGTTTAACGTTGAACAAGTTACACATCAAAGTGTTTTCTCAGGCAACTTTTAGTTTTTTAGATAGAATTTTCTTTTTAGCTTGCAGGCACTCACATTTCTTTACTTTAACGTTTTGGCTACCCTTTGCTACGTTATGATTTTAGCTGCTATTGGGCTACATTTAGCTTTTTCAACAGTTGTATTTGTAGTTTTTCATAACCCTTTTACTACTTTTAGCTTTTAGTTAGTCTTTTGCTGCTTTAGCTTTTGGYTACTATACTTCTGCTGCTATTAGCAAGCATTTAGCTATAGTGGTCTTTTAATTAGCTTTTTTTTCTGCTAGTGTTTTGCTATTTTTAGCTTTTACATTGATTTTAACTTTTTTAAGTTTTAGATATTATTTTTCATTTTTTTTAAATACTGTTCTAATTTTCTAATCCTGTGATGGACTTGTGACMTGTCCAGGGTGTACCCCGCCCCTCGCACTGTGACTGCTGGATATGGGCACCAGTGACCCCCCGTGACCCTGAAAGGAAGAAACGGTATAGATCAGAGGAGCCCAAAGTGGGGCCCTCGGGCCAAATTTGGCCCACCAAGCCATTTGATTTGGCCCACCAACAGTTGTCAAAGTTACAATGTTGTAACTTGTTATCCTATGTAGAAACAGTGTTTCCATTGGTCAAATGACTATATAAAGAGGCTGAAGTGAAGGTAGTTTTCATTCATGGTGCTGACTTTATCTTTGATTTATTAGGATTAAACGTGAAACATGAAATGACAAGAAATATTTAGATCAGATTTAACCCCACATGTAGATTTGCACACTTTATAAGGCCACAAAAACTCATATTTTATCAATTTATAAAACGTCCCATGAGCCTTTGCTACTTGAGCGTATGGCAGACTTTCTCCAAGTGCACAGACTAAAACATAAGAGGGCCATTGCACAGCTTAATGGTTAAAAATAAAGGACTTTACTTAAAAAGTATTTGTATTTCATGTATTATATTACTGCATTTGGCCCGCAGCTCTGGATAGATTTTCATTTTGGCCCCCTCGGGGAAAATGTTTGGCCACCCCTGGAATAGATAAAGGATGGATGGATGGATGGATGGATGGATGGATGGATGGATGGATGGATGGATGGATGGATGGATGGATGGATGGATGGATGGATGGATGGA